GACATATCAGGGCACATACAGATTGCCTGGAGCCCTTAGTTTGGGCAATGATTTAGCAGATAAAACTACACATGACATACATATTTTCTCTACACTAGAAGAAGCTATAAATTTTCATAAAAAGTTCCATGTCAATGCTAATACTTTACAAAAGCGTTTTAAAATAACTAAGAAACAAGCTAGACAAATAATAAAACAATGTCAAAATTGTGTGACCTTTTTACCACAAGTTAATCTTGGAGTCAATCCTAGAGGATTGATACCTAACCATATTTGGCAGATGGACGTCACACACTTGCCAGAATTTGGAAAATTAAAATATTTGCATGTTACAGTTGATACTTCTTCTGGATTTTTGATGGGCTCCCTTCATGCCGGAGAAAAAACTAAAGATGTTATAGCTCATTGCTTACAAAATTTTGCCACTGTGGGTGTTCCAAAACAGTTAAAAACAGATAATGCCCCTGGTTATACTTCTACCTCTTTTAAACAATTTTGCTCAACATTTGGCATTACTCATATAACAGGAATCCCATACAATCCACAGGGACAAGGCATAGTTGAAAGAGCTCATCAAACTATTAAAATGTACTTATTAAAGCAAAAAGAAGGAATTGGGAAGGGGTATATATTCCCCAAAGATAAACTTAAAATAACCCTTTTTACTCTAAACTTTTTAAATTTGGATTCATCAGGACTTAGTGCTGCGGAAAGGCATATGTGTCCAAAAAATGTGCATAAGCCCAAGGTACTTTGGAAGGATATTCTAACAGGACAATGGAAAGGTCCTGACCCAGTAATTGTCTGGAGTCGGGGGTCTGTTTGTGTGTTTCCACAGGGAGAACAGCAGCCGATTTGGATTCCAGAGAGATTAACCAAGGTCCTGACCCAGTGATTGTCTGGAGTCGGGGGTCTGTTTATGTGTTTCCACAGGGAGAACAGCAGCCGATTTGGATTCCAGAAAGATTAACTAAAGCGATTTCTACAGACCAAAAAGAAGATGATTTGGCTCAAATGCATAACAACTGATATCCAAAACTCCAGTTTGGCTATTCTTACATCTGCAACAGAACCAGGATGCTTTTTTCAATATCTATTTTATTATTGCCCTTTGCCATATCATGAAGTTCTATTTTGTTTTTTGAGCTCATACAGACCTAGGTTAATGTTTTGCTGATCAGTTCTATTTTTTGACTATAGAGTTTTTAAACATTGCAATGGAGATTTCACCTGTAAAAAGTTATAAGGCCTTTACTATAATGTTATGTGTTGTATGTATTATGTGTGCACACTTGTGTTTTGTGTTATATGTTTGAATGTATGTATGTCCATATATCATATATGATGAGCGCTCATGATAAAATGGATCCAAATATTTTTTTTTCACGTGATTTATATGGTTTAATTTAAATTGGGTAAACAACTGTTGAGGATTGTTTTAATATGTAAACAAAAAAGAAGGTTAACAGATCTGTTTGTTTACTTTCACCTTTCCTTTTCATTATATTTAATAATTCTCTTAAAGATAATGTAAATTGTTAAGAAAATTGTTTTCTTTTAGTGCCTTCTGGAATGTTACATAATTTTTTCTTTAGCCATTATTGCCAGAATTCCTATCTTCATCCCAGTGCTGGTGAAGTCAAAGATAAAACCAATCTACAGCTTCTACAATAGCCATCACTGAACTGCTTGCAGAACTTGCCTGGACACATTGTGAGCTCACCTGTATGCATTGTGAACTATCTGTTGGTGCAGCGACTTGTGGTAGTGTTGGGGTATTTTTGCTGATGATGTCATTGGTGGTACAATTTTTCCAAAAGGAGCCGTCAATTGGCTTGGTGTATCTTCCTCCCTTCTGCTTGTCATGATCGTCCAGCTAAAATTTGGGGGCCAACAGAGGTGAGGCAAAGAACCTCACCCCCCCGCTGGTACAAAGACCTCTCCACAAGTGTGGCTGTATACTGGACCGGTAGTCAGTGACGGGTAAGATCTAATTGCAATGGTACCAACCTAAGGACCATATGTACTATTGGACAACCTAAGGCAGGCACGGTCCCTAAGCCACAAGCTTGTTGTTTAAACAGAGAGGGGGAGATGTTGAGAGCCACAGCCGAAGGGGCCCCAGCAAACTTCCAGCTGCCAGCAAACTTCCAGCTGCCGGCTGATGATTGGCTCACAGCGGCCCCAGCAACATCTAGCTGATTGGCTCCTCGGCCCCAGCAACATCTAGCTGATTGGCTCCTCTGCGGTGATGCTCATTGGGCTGTTTCCCTGCCCTTTCAGACCACGGAGCTGCTCATTGGGGGACTTTTTTGGCTCTGCCCACGTGACCCAGCCAATCGGCCTCAAGAGCAGGAGGATTGTGGGAGGTGGAGGGAAGCTTGTGTGGGAGAGAGAGGCTTGTGGAAAGCCGGTGGTGGCAGTTGAGGCTCTGAGGGTTTTTCCTGAGAGGCTGTTTTGTTTGTCGTGTGTGGTTCTAAAAATAAAGTTAGTTTCTTTTGACAAGTGGCTCCTGATTGTGCCCAGCCAGACTGCGGCAGAGTAAATTAACTGATAAAACACATCAGTAAATATAACTGGAATTATTGGAGCCAAGTTTCTCCAGATTTACAAACATGGCATAGGGGAAGACTAGAAAGAATCCTAAAGTATCAGATTAAAATGAGAAGCATCAATACCAGTAGTCATAGGAGTGTTACATTATAATGTACTGAAAATTGTGGCAATCCAGGAGTCCATAATGATATAGATACAAATATACACACATGCACACACATGGGAGAAGGGGCAATGGTGCCTTGAAACAAAATACCAACTAACACCGAAGGCCTGTTTTTATATAGTTCATGAATAGTACGAAATGTGGTTTTTACATTTTTAAAGGACTATTGAATACAAAACAAAAACATGCATTAGGGACTGAATGTGGGGAGAAAAAAACTCATAACATTTATTATCTGGTCTGTTATAGAAAGTATTTAGCAATCCCTGGTGTAAAAGAAATGATACAAATGAATGTCCATCATGTGGCAGCTGGACAGTTCGGAGCCACCGAAGGATGCTATGGAGGTATAATGAGGAAACTCCAGATAGACTGAAATGGGGCCTCATGCTACCAAATAAAAGCCATACACTTCTTAAAATTATAAATGTCACAAAAGATACAGTCTGAAGAACTGCTTCAGACTGCAGAGACTAAAGAGCTATGAAAACAAAATACAACACATGAACTTGAATAGGATCCTGGAGCAGAAAAGTAAAGAAGACACTGTTGGGACCATTGGCAAAATCTCAATGAAAAGTCATTAGATTCAGAGGAATGTTAAGAACAGAGTATAAGAAGCTCAAGATGAAAAAAATCAAGCTTGATGCCCCAGATGAAGAAAGGAAGGGCTAGAAGGTATGAAAATTTGGTGGGAACAATTGGAAAAACTTGGCCAAGAAAAGAAACGAAGCTGAATATAAAGATGAAAAGCTAACATAAACCCCATAAACTATAGTTCAAAGATGCCTTGAGGAAATTCACTAGTGTACTCCAACTCCTTCTGATAGTTTCCCATTGATTAATAGCATAATGAGTTGTTTTCTTTTAAATTTTTAAAACATGTTTCTGCTGGAGTGAGTGAGTGTGTGTGTGTGTGTGTGTGTGTGTGTGTGTGGTGTGTGGGGGGGGGGGGGTAAATGGATAATATATACCCTTTCTTAACGATATTCAAAGAGCAGCATTTTTAGCCCTTGATCTTCAAGATTACATAGGTGATATAAGAACTGAAAAGAAATCATAAACATCCACAAGTTTCAGCAACATGAAAGTCATTGGTGACCTAAGATCAGGTTCAGAAGCATTTAAGATAGTTTCCAGATACTGATGAGGAAACAGGGGCCGGAAAAGAACAACAGTACAGTGCAGAAAAACTCTAAAGCCACGTGTTTGTGAAGAGTATGCTTGTGAAGGTACTTTTTGCTATGTTTGTTTTTGCTTTAAGGGGAAGGGGCACAGATTAAAAAATACTTGAATCCCAACTACATGTATCCAGTGGAGAAGGAAAAGTTCAAGACTTGGGAAAAGAACAAAAGTCGCCATAGACGTGAAGTTCCCAAGGAGGAACCAAGAAGATGATTTGGAGAAACATGAAGAAGTTTGTCCCTGACAGGAGCAAGGACAGCTCATCAATTATACTATGAGGGAAAGAATTGAGAGGTGTACATATAAATAGGTCAATAGATATTGAGAACAAATAATTTCCACCAGATGTCCCCATTTTTCTCTGAGCAATAAAGACACTTCATTTAGTGAGGACACAGGATGAAATGTGGGATTAGAAGTTTAAGGAAAGAAAGTATGAAACTGTCACAGAGAAGAAGCTGACAAGAGAAGTACATTAAGAGAGCCACATAATGTTCAAAGCCAGATGAGACTGGTAACCAAAAAGAGTACTTACATAAATCCTATGAAAAAGACTTGCATTTGTTCAGAATATTAAACTGATATAACCATGCAAACACATCTTCATACATAATTGTCCTTTATTATATAATCATGTGCACAAAAGAGCAGACAACTAATAAAAGCATAAAAACTCAGACCACAGATGCCTGAACATTAAATTCAGCTTTTCTGAACTACATAAGATAAAATCTTTTAACACAAAATCTGAACAAGGGTACTAACAAGAAAAAGCAGGAAACACTAAAAATATGACAAACCAAATCCCTGTGCCCTATTGCCACAGTTTTCCACTATCACCTCCAAACAGCTTTTAAAATACTGTCATAGTCCTACAAAGTCCTACTGGAATTTCCTCATAGCCCCCAAGGTTTTCCAGGTCCCGTTCTTAAAATCCCACTTCAGGAAAAAAGAAAAATCAAATTATTGCTTTCACCAACTATTCCTCTGAGATTTCTGTTTTCTACTAATTGAATTAAGTTTACTCTTACTCTGGCACATGTCTTCAAACTTGGCATTTAAAGATATGTCCCCGAAAGATGTTCCATCTTACCGAAATTGCTGTTATCCTAAGAGAATCAACGGTGGAATGTCTGAATAGGTACCATAAAACAGGTCCAACTTCTCCTGTAATAAAGCCCTGCGCCTGAGCTGAAAAAGTTGTGCAGACATTCTCAATAATCTTTGCAGCCATGTGATTCACAACACGTTCTTCCTAGAGAGATCAAACAAGGAGAAATCCAGAGACTATTATTTAGTAGTAGGAATACATGCATGTCATTTCTTCAGACAAATCTCTACCCAATAATAATATCTCTCAAAACCAAAGTTAAAAACCAAAAACTGTTAGAACTAATAAATTCAGTAAAATTGCAGGATACAAAAATAAACATTAAAATCAGTAGCATTTATCTTTTCGGGTGTAAGAGGGTAGTGCTAGGGATTGAACCAAGGGTCTTACACACACTAGGCAACACTCTACCACTGAGTTACACCCAACCCCAGCCCCAATCAGTGTTATTTTTATACATCTGAAACTATCTGAAAAATAATCTCATTTACAAAGCAGAAAAAAAAAATACACTTATGAGTAAATTTAACCAAGAAAGTGAAAGATCTATTTACTGAAAACTATAAAACCCAGATAAAAGAAACTGAAGATGACACAAATAAATGGAAAGTATTCTGTGTTCATGGATTGGAAGAATATTGTTTAAATGTCCACACTTCCCAACGAGATCCACAAATTTAATATTATTCCTATCAAAATTTGAATATCATTTTTCAAAGAAATAGAAAAAATCCAGCTCCCATTCTTGTGTAACCAGAAAAGACCCCAAAATAGATGAATAAATCTTGAACAAAAGAAAACCTGGAGGTTTCAAACTACCAGATCTCAAAATGTATTACAAAACTACAGTAGTCAATATAGCATGAAAACAGGTCTATTCATCAACAGAAAACAATAAAGCCCATAAATAAACCTATACATTCACTGCCAACCTATTTTTGACAGAAGTGCCAACAACATACAATGGGGAAAGGAAAGTGTCTTTTCTATAAACAGTACTGGGAAAACTAGATATACAAATACAGAAGAATAAAAGTAGACCCTTACCTTAATCCTTATATAAAGAAATCAACTCAGCATGAATTAAACTCTTAAACACTTGAAATTATAAACTATTAGGAAAAAAAGGAAAAGCTCCTATGACATTGGTCAAGGAAGATATTTCTTGGATATGATCCCATAAACACAATCAATGAAAAACAGAAAATGGGATCACATCAAATAAAATCTTCTGCACAGCAAAAGTAACAATTAATACAGTGAAGAGACAACCCACCAATTGGGAGAAAATAATTATAAATCATACATTGGCTACAGAGCTTATATCAACAACATATAAGGAACTCAGACCACTCAACAAGAAAATAAATAACCCTATTAAAATCATGGGAAAAGGACTTGAATAGGTATTTCTCAAAAAAAAAAAAAAATACAAAGGGCCAACAGATATAAAAAAGTGCTCAGAAAAATGGAAATTAAAACCACAAAAAATGAAGTAATTCCATATCTGTTAAAATTGACTATTAGCAAAAAGATAAAAATCATACCTGTTGGCAAGAATGTGGGAAAAGTGAACCCTTGTAGACTGTTGGAAGCATTGTAAATTAGTTTAGGCATTTTGGGAAACACCATGAAGGTTCCTCAAAAAACTACAAGTAGAACTACCATTTGATTTGGAAATCTCATAACCAAAGGAACTGAGGTCAGTATCACAGATGCCTTCTCTCCCATGTTCACTGCAGCATTGTCCACAGTTGCCAAGACACGGCTAATACTACCAACCAAGCTTCACATTCACCAGGCACTCTGCTCAACAAAAGAACACACTTTTCCAAGATCACACAAAACAGTACCAGATTAGGTCATGCTATGGACCATAAAAAAAACATCTCAGCAAATTCCATACTCGGAAATGACTTTGTGATGAATGACAAACTTCAACAAACAATAACAGTTTAAAAACACAAAACTTCTACAAGACATCATAAGAATACACTATCTTGAGTAGGCAAAGCTTTTTAGGACAAAGAGGCACTAAGAATGAAATATATATTTTAAACTTCATAATTTCAAATTTCTGCTCATAATGACAACATTAAGCCTCACAGTTTCTCAGTCTGGGAGAAAATTTATAAAACACTAATATTAAATATCTAAGCATACTATTTCATGGTATATTTTAATTTAAAATACTGAATGGAGAATTATATGTATAATATAATCCCACATTTGTTTAAAATATACACAACCAAAGGAAAAGCATAGAAAAATGACACTGTTAATGATGATTCTAACAGGTGTAGGTCACAGGAAAAGGAGTCCACCAATGCTACTTCACCCATATTTTACACTGTTTGGATTGTTACAGTATGTGTGCATTACTTTAATATGATGTCTTTTTTGTGTGTAAAAACAAAAAAGAGGCCTGAGGCTGTAGCTCAGTGGCAGAGTACTTGCCTAGCATGTGTGAAGCACTGGGGGGGTTTCAATCCTTAGCACAGCATAAAAATAAAGGCATTCTGTCCATGTACAACTACAAAAAAAAAAAATTTAAAGAGAAACTGTTCAGTGATATCTAAGTCTAAGCCATGGTTTTGCATTCTACCAGCTATACAATTCAGGCACATTCACCTCTGTGCCTCAGCTTCCCCATCTATAAAACAAAGATAAAATGAGGCAGTTTGATAAGTGTTTGTGCCATCTGATTGTCTTAACAATCCAGATCATGGAAAGTACTGTGTTCTCTATAAGTGTTAATTTTTCTTCCCATTACTACTAGTAGCATACCGTATGAACTTTTGATTGCCAGAACAGAAAATTACGATGTACTTTGATTTCCTCAAACTTCTGGCATATTTCAAGAGTACTAGAGAGAATGCTTCCACCCAATTTATTTCCTACCACGCAAACAGAATAAAGGCCACTTGTAGCCTCCCTCTGATCCTTTATTCACTGCATTTAAGAAAAATATGTTGCCTGTTTAGCAAATTTGAAAAAGAAAAGTGAAATGGATGTGCCTAAGTGCTCAGTTTACTACTTCTTGTTGGGGGTAGACTCACTCATACTCGAGTTGTCTTCTCATATAATGTGTACTTACTTAAAACACTAGGAGAAGGCTTCTCTAACTGGGAGGTACTAAGCTGCCCTCATGTGGCGGTTCAATATAATATAAGGAAGTCCATTTGCCCTCAGAATCTATGACCTCATTACATCATATATGAAGATGACATTTTGTTCTGGATACTTTGTTCTGTTCTTTCTTTTGCTTTTACTTCTACATAAGGTTCTAAAACCTTCTCCCCAAATGTGGGAAGGAAAGATGCTATTTATGGGGGAACCTTCACATATACTTTGTATCACAATTGTCAGTCAATTCCTAGAGGATTCATTCCTAGCCCTAGAAAACCACAACTATTTTAGCACCTAGGTTGCAAAGAGGTCCAGAGTCACCTCAGTGCTCTATAAACTCGGAGGCTGTCAGGCCAATTCAGTGTGTGACTGCCTGAAATAAGCTGTCCTAGTCCCTCTGGAATCCCTTGTGGGATGTAACACAAGCAATAAGACTAGTGCTATTTTCTGCTCATTAACTCTTTGGAAGGGCCAACTAGACTAAATTATCATTTAATCAAAGCCCTCTTTTCATAATGTCGTGAGAATAAAAGCTATGATTATTAGAAAAATATCAGGGTTACTAATGAAAAGCTGTACTGTTTCATGGTATTAAGTAGATATAGTGTATTGTATGCAATCTTAACAAAAAAGAAAGCTTTGCTGCCGGTTTTAATTACATGCCTAATTTTCCAATAAAGAGAGCCAAAATTAACATCTAAAATATTGACATTATTTTTACTTTCATAGATTTAGTAAAACTATGATCTTCCCTCTAAAGGTTTCAAGGTACCTGCAGTTATTTTACATAGTTTAGTATAGCTTTAGTAACTCTCCGAACCTTAAAGAACATAAGATTTTTCATTTCTTACAATATAGTGGGCAAGAAACCTGGTAACACTACCTCTCTGAAAGCAACCAAAAATGATAGATGTAATAGAATAAAGTTTCTTTAAAACATCTACAAACTAGCACCAAATTCTTAAGCCAGTGATTGTGTAGCACCCAGAGGTACTCAACCTGGTATTTGTACCAAAATTATTTCTCTGACAAGGTGAACAAGAGGAGTGAGGGCAAAGCTGAAGTCCCTCGCAAGTAGGAAATACAATGAAGACTCCCCAACCCAGGCGCAAACACAAGTAGTCAGCAGTGGCCACAACTGAGTACAATACATATAAACAAGAAGGAACCCCCAGCAGACACCGTGGCCCAACTACTCAGAGTATCACGTGTTTGAGATCAGCCTGGGCAACTTAGCAAAACCCTGTTTCAAAATGAGAATTTTTTTTAAAGGGCTGGGAGGTGTGGTTCAGTGGTAGAGTGCTTGCCTAGCATGTACAGAGACCCCACATTCAATCCTCAGTAATAAAAAAAAAGAAAGAAAAAGAAATAGCTCCACCATCTCTCTGACTCCCTACTGAACTGAGTTGGGGGTTGAGGACAAACCCACAGGAAATGAAACACAGAGTCAGCCCTCATTTGATTTGCAGAGTATCAGCTTCAGAACAGCAATAGTTGCTCTGATATCTGACTTTTTAGCAGCAACAACTGTGGCCAGAAGACAATGAAATTCCATCTTTAATCGCTAATTGAAAATTACCATCGCCCTACAACTGCATTCCCAGAAAAAATACATTTCAAAAGAGAAACAGATTAAAATAAATTTTTTAAAACCAAAAGACATGAAGTAAAATCAAACAAATAGAATAATAAGATGGTACTATAAATACAATTATGCCAAAAATTATAATAAACGTAAATTGAATAAAATAATTAGGAAAAATAACTAAAGTAATCTTTAATGAACACTAAGAGATATCTAAAAGTCAAAGGATGAAAAACGAAGACTGGAGAATATACGCCCATTATACAGAACCCAAAGAAAAGAGAGCCAGTATAGCTATTCTATTATTAATTCCAGACAACACAGGCAAAAGCATTATTAGGTATTTTTTAAGGTCATACCATAATGATAAAAATTACAATTTACCAAGGGGGAACCTAATTTTTCTATACGGGTAATAACACCCAAAATG